TGGCCAGGTGCAGTGGCTTTGGAAGGCCAAAGTGGGCAGATTTCTTGAGCCTAGGATTTGGGAGACCAGCCTTGGCAACACAGTGAAAGCTTACCTCTACAAACAAACCCGAAAATTACCCAGGTGTGGTGGTGTGCACCTGTAGCTCCAGCTACTCCAGAGGCTGAAATAGGAGGAGCTCTTCAGGTCAGGAGGAGGTCAAGACTACAGTGAGCCGAGATCAAGATCATGCCACTGCACTCCAGCCTGGGTGACAGAGCAAGATCCTTTCTCAAAACAAAGCAAAACAAAAAACAATGAAAACAATAGGAAAGAAATATGTTGAAATAACTAGTATCTTCAACAGAATGTTGAATAAGAGTGGACATCATTGTTAGGCCGGGCACGGTGGCTCAAGCCTGTAATCCCAGCACTTTGGGAGGCCGAGGCGGGTGGATCACGAGGTCAAGAGATCGAGACCATCCAGGTCAACATGGTGAAACCCCGTCTCTACTAAAAATACAAAAAATTAGCTGGGCATAGTGGCACGTGCCTGTAATCCCAGCTACTCAGGAGGCTGAAGCAGGAGAATTGCCTGAACACAGGAGGCGGAGGTTGCGGTGAGCCGCGATCGCGCCATTGCACTCCAGCCTGGGTAACGAGCGAAAACTCTGTCTCAAAAAAAAAAGAGTGGACATCATTGTTCTCAGTCTTAGGGGCAAAACTCTGATTTAATCATTAAATATATTAGCTGTAGGTTGCCTGGATCCATCCCGCAGACCCCAGCTGCACAGTGGATGAATAACGTACATTGACACAGATTTCTTGCCTGTCAGCCAGACTAAGGGGGCTCTGGTGCCTCAGTCTTCAGTGTCGCCTAGATCAGCCAGCCAAGTTTGCATTTATTTAGTACAGATTAAATGGCAAAGGTCATGAGTAAACACCACTAGAAGGTAATTAACATTGCAGACCCTCTGAGTAGAGAGCAATCATGCACCCGAAGATGGTTAAAGGTTAGTCTTAGGACCACATAACTAAACAAGCTATTCAGATAAACACTTTCCCTTGTTACTTGCTTTTCTGCTATTAACATAAGGGAAAGAGGAGTAGGCTGTCTTCAGTCAGATCTTTCACTGAAACTATGCAAACTCCCCAGCCTCCAAGAAGGTTTGTGACTATTTCCTTTAACTTTGCAATTTCTCCTACCATTCTTACTGAACCCCCACAGTGTTTTGTATATTCCCTCAAAAAATTATTTTATTTTATTTTTTGTAGAAAAGAGTCATGCTCTGTTGCCTTACATTGGTCTCGAACTCCTGAGCTCAAGCCATCCACCCATCTTCTCCTCCCAAAGTCTGGGATTCCAGGCATGAGCCAGCGCACCTGGCCTATGGATGCCTTTTCTGTTTCAGGACTTCCCTTCTAGTCCTAGTTGGCTGAGAGTCTTTTTTTTCTTTCATGAATAGGTATTAAATTTTGTTAAATGCTTTTTCTGCATCTACTGAGATGGTCATATGGGTTTATAGCTTGTTAGTGTAGTAAATTATATTGATTGATTTAAAAATACTAAGCCAACCTTGTGTTCCTGGGATGAAACTAATTTGATCATGATGTATTATTGTTTTTATATACTACTGTATTCATTTTGCTAAGTTTTAAAAGGATTTTTGAAAAAAGTAAAAAGGTTTTTGTGTCTAGATCCATGAAGGATATGTGTGTAGTTTCTTTTCTTATAACATCTTTGTGTCATTTGGTATCTGGTAATCCTAGTCTCATGAGGTGAGTTGGTAAATGATCTCTCCTTCTCTATATACTAGAAACATTTGTGCAGAATTGATATTGTTTCTTCCTTAAGTGTCCAATGAAGCATGTAGACCTGGTGTTTTCTTTGTGGAAACATTTTCTTATTAAGAATTCAATATCTATGCCAGATGAGATGGCTCACACCTATAATTCCAGTGCTTTGGGAGGTTGAGGGGGGAGGAATGCTTGAGCCCAGTAGTTTGAAACCAGCCTGATCAATATAGCAAGACCTTCACCATTGCACTCAAACTTAGAAGACAGAGCAAGACGCTGTCTTAAGAAAAAAAAAAAATTCAGTTTTTTTTTTCTTTTTTTCAGATGGGATCTGGCTCTGTTGCTCAGGCTGGAGTGCAGTGGTGTGATCTAGGCTCACTGGAACCTCTGCCTCCTGGGTTCAAATAATTCTCCTGCCTCAGCCTTCCAAGTAGCTGATTACAGGCACGCAGCACCATGCCCAGCTAATTTTTGTATTTTTAGTGGAGATGGGATCTTACCATGTTGACCAGGCTGGTCTCCAATTCCTGACCTCAAGTGATCCACCCACCTCAGCCTCCCAAAATGCTGGGATTACAGGCAGGAGCCACTGTGCCCAGCTGTCTCACGTTTCCTTAGAAGACTTTGGTCATTTGTGTTTTCCAAGGAAACTGTCCATTTCATCTAACTTATTAAATGTATTCACATAAAAGTTTTAATAATCTACCCTATTGTCATTTTAATTTCTGTACAATTTGTAGCAGTGTCTCTTCTGCTTTTACTGGTATGGTTAATCTGTGTATTCTCTCTATTATTCCTAATCAGTCTAGCCAGAGATTTATCACCTTTAGTTTGTAGAACCTACTTCTGGTTTTATTGACTTTTGCTAATGTTTTTGTTTTCTATTTCATTTATTTTGGCTTTTTTTTTTTTTTAGATGGAGTCTTGCTCTGTTGCCCAGGCTGGCGTGCAGAGGCATGATCTCAGCTCACCGCAATTTCTGCCTCCTGGGTTCAAGCGATTCTCCCACATCAGCCTGTTTTGTCTTTTATCTTTATTATTTATTTTCTCCTGCTAATTTTGGTTTTACTTGGCTCTTCCTTTGTGTGCACTCAGCAGAGTGCAGTGGCTTACACCCATAATCCCAGCACTTTGGGAGGCTGAGGTGGGAGGATTCCTTGAGGCCAGGAGTTCAAGACCAGCCTGGTAAACATGGTGAGACTCCTTCTCTACTAAAAATACAAAAATTAGCCAGGCATGGTGACACATGCCTGTAATTCCAGCTACTCAGGAAGGTGAGGCATGAGAACTGCTTGAAACTAGGAGGCCAACATTGCAGTGAGCTGAGATGGCACCACTGCACTCCAGCCTGTATGACAGAGTGAGACTTTGTCTAAAAAAAAAAAAAAAAAAAGGAAATGCTTACATTATCGATTTGAGATATTTCTTCTTTTGTAATATGTCAAAGTAGTGCTATAAATTTCCCTCTTAGCACTACTGTGGCTGCATCTCGGAAAATTTGATATGTCATGTTTTCACTTTCCATTCAGTTCAAAATATGATCGAATTTTCCTTGTAATTACATATTTGACCTATGGGTTACTTAATTTCCAAATATGGGGGAATTTTCCAGATATCATTCCATTATTCTTTTTTTTTTCTCTTTTTTTTGAGATGGAGTTTCGCTCGTTACCCAGGCTGGAGTGCAATGGCGCGATCTCGGCTGACCGCAACCTCTGCCTCCTGGGTTCAGGCAATTCTCCTGCCTCAGCCTCCTGAGTAGCTGGGATTACAGGTATGTGCCACCATGCCCAGCTAATTTTTTGTACTTTAGTAGAGACGGGGTTTCACCATGTTGACCAGGATGGTCTCGATCTCTTGACCTCGTGATCCACCCACCTCGGCCTCCCAAAGTGCTGGGCCATTCATTATTCTTTTCTTTTCTTTTCTTTTTTTTTTTTTGAGACAGAGTGTTGCTCGGTTGCCAGGAGATACGTACCAGCAGTGGTATGATCTTGGCTCACTGCAACCTCTCCCTCCTGGGTTCAAGCAATTCCCCGTCTCAGTCTCCCAAGTAGCTGTGACTAGAGGCCTGCACCACCATGCCTGGCTAATTTTTTGTATTTTGGTAGAGATGGGGTTTCACCATGTTGGCCAGGATGGTCTTGATCTCCTGACCTCGTGATCTGCCTGCCTTGGCCTCCCAAAGTGCTGGGATTACAGGTGTGAGCCACCATGCCCAGCCCATTCCATTGTTATTTTCTATTTTTCTTTTTTCTCCTATTTATTTATTTACTTATTTTCGGTTCCCTCTCAGGCCCTAAATTCTGTTATTATTTTCTAGTTTAATTCCATTGTGTTCAGAGGTGTACTTTTTATGATTGAAATCCTTTAAAATTTATTTATTTATTTATTTTAAAATGGAGTCTCACTCTGTTGCCCAGGCTGGAGGTGCAGTGGCCTGATCTTGGCTCACTGCATTCTCTGCCAAGCAGGTTTAAGTGATTCTCCTGCCTCAGCCTCCTGACTAGCTTAGATTACAAGGGCATGCCACCACTCCTGGCTAATTTTTGTATTTTTAGTAGAGATGGGGTTTCACTGTGTTGCCCAGGGTGGTCTCGAACTCCTGACCTCAGGTAATCCACCTGCCTTGGCCTCCCAAAGTGCTGGGATTATAGGCATGCATGAACCACCACTCCTGGCCTCTTTTACATTTATTAACACTGGCTTTATGCCTCCAAATATGGTATAACTTGATGGATATGCCTTTGAAAAGAATACATATTCTGCTGTTGTTGGATATTCCATTAATGTTGTTTATGTGGAATTGGTTAATAGCATTGTTTGAATCTTGTATACCTTTACTGAGGTATACCTTTTACTTGCGAGCATTTATATCATTTATATTTGATGTAATTATTGATATGATTGAGTTTAAATCAATTTTGCTATTGGTTTTTTATTTGTTCCATTTGTCTGTTGGTCTTTTTTCTCTTTTCTTTTGTATCGGAGACAGATTTGCCCTCTGTTACCCAGAGTGGAGTGCAGTGGAGCTATCACAGTTCACTGCAGCTGGGCACTGGTCCATTTTTCTGCATCTTTTTTTTTTTTTTTTTTTTTCCGAAACAGGACCTCCCTATGTTGCCCAGGCTAGAATATCAAACTCCTGGGCTCAAGTGATCCTCCTCCCTTAATCTCCCGAAGTGTTGGGAATACAGGTGTAAGTCACCAGAGCCAGTCCGTTTCCCCCCACCCCCCCAACTTAGGTATATAATTCAATGCCAACAGTTCTCTTTTTTCAACACTTTAAGCATGTCACTCCACGGGGGCGCTGTCTGGAGACTTGCATAAGTCTCATCCTCCAGGACCACAGGGCAGGCGGGACAGCCCCTAGGGTCACCGCACGGCTTAAGCTTCCTTTGGAGGAGACAAAGACCCGGGACAGTTCCGTGGCGAGGCCGAGGGAGGTGGGACGATAGGGCAGGGAGGCCCGAGGTGTCCCTGCCCTTTAGGATCGTCCCAACCTTTGGACCCATTCACGCTTGGGGACGTTGAGGAGCGCTGAAATCGCAAAGACGCGAGTCACGGACAAGAAGCCACAGCCATTTCGCCGCTTGTTCCGCGCAACTGCAGAGCGCGTGGGCGGTGTCGGGCACCGTCGGCCGCGCCCTCAGCTCCACCCCCCTGTGGGCGGGGCCCGAGCCTGTCCCTAAAGCCATGCGACTGCACGCTCCGGGGCTGGAGCTGTCGACTGCTGCGCGCCGCGCCCGGGTTGTCGCCGTCTCCCGTTGCCACCGTCATGTCCCAGCAGCTGTCCCGGGCCAGGCCCGCCATGGTGCTGGGCGCCATGGAGATGGGGCGCCGCATGGACGCGCCCACCAGTGCCGCAGCCACGCGCGCCTTCCGGGAGCGCGGCTACACCGAGATAGATACGGCCTTCGCCTACGGCGACGGCCAGTCCGAGACCATCCTGGGCGGCCTGGGGCTTGGGCTGGGCGTCGGCGACTGCAGAGGTAACAGTGGCCCCTGATCCTCCCCCTGTCCTGTGCAAAGCTGAGCCCGTCCGCAGCCGTGCACCGCGCCGCCCGCCGCCAGCACCGACGGCTTCGTACCCCATCCCACTCCCGTTCACCCCGCAGCTCAGGAAACCCCAGGCTCTTCAGGCACATCTAGCTCCGGACAACTGGACGGTGCTTTGTCCGGACTCCTTTTCTCTGGTCTTGTCTTATGGGAGGTAGCCCAGTACCCTCATGGACGCCTGGATGACTTGGTCTCGCCTGGAATGACTTGGCTAGTCCCTCTCTGGGGCACGAAAACCATTGGAATCTGGCACTGTGCAGCTCCTGTCCCCACCTGTACCCTTCAGGTGCCCTCGACAGGCCTGATCTGCAGACATTCTGATCTTATCGCCTGGCAGTTCATGGCACTGTGCTAGATCAGACTTTGGACCAGCACACCCTCTACTTCCTCCTCCTCTCATGCCAGTCGTAGCCCTTGACTTTGCTCTGAGTACCTTGTGGTACTCACCAGGGTGGCAGTGCTTGGGAGCCTGGGCAGCTCCCTCAACACGATGGGGAATTTGGGGTGGTACAGGATCGAACTGCCCTCTCTGTGGGAGGCTCTGTCTGAGGCTATTGGAGACAAACGGACACTAACCCACTCCAGGAAGCTCCAGTTCTAGAGATGGCTGGTGAGCCCAGAATGAGCCCTTCCTGGGAGGGACTCCGTGAAGAAACAATGGATGGGAGTTTGCCAGGAGGAGTAAGGGGCAAGGGCATCAGGGCAGTGGGCGTGGGTGTGCAAAGGCAATGTGATTTGGCAATTCTGAGGGTGCTGGAGGAGGCAGGTGTAGCCCTAGGGGAGGATGTGTGTATAGGGGAGGAGGATCGGCTCTCAGTCCGTCGCCATTTGCAGTGCTTAGGCTGATGCCCGGCAAGCACACAGTGAGGGCTGGGAAACCTTAGCTATTCCTTTGTTCTCAATATAGAACCTTCTGCCTCCTTCTACTCTGAGTGTCTGAGTGGAGTCTTGTCCATTTCTCCTCTGCCCTCCTGCCAGCCTAAGAGACTTTCTAAGTGTGAAAAGTGGGAAGAGGACTCTCCACTCACCTGTTAGTCCAGCCCACTAGGAACTAGGTTACTTTTTTTTCGCCACATGGTGCATCCCAAACAAAAGAAGCCTAGTGCACACATATCAGTGTCACACTTTCTTTCCTTCTTTTTTTTTTTTCGAGATGGAGTCTCACTCTGTTTCCCAGGCTGGTACGATCACAGCTCACTGCAACCTCTGCCTCCCGGGTTCAAGCAATTCTCCTGCCTCAGCCTCCGGAGTAGCTGGGATACAAGCACACACCACCATGCCCAGCTTATTTTTATAGTTTTGGTAGAGACGGGGTTTCGTCATGCTGGTCAGGTTGGTCTCGAACTCCTGACCTCAGGTGATCTGCCCGCCTTGGCCTCCCAAGGTTCTTGGCTTGAGCCACCATGCCCAGCCTCAGTGCTACACTCTTTCCAGATCACCTGGCTGCCACTCAGTGAGAGCTCTGATCTTACTTCAGATTTTCTGATTTTTTTTTTTTTTTTTTTTTTGAGATGGAGTCTCACTCTATCGCCCAGGCTGGAGTGCAGTGTCTCTATCTCGGCTCACTGCAACCTCTGCCGCCCAGGCTCAAGCAATTCTCCTGCCTCAGCCTCCCAAGTAGCTGGGATTACAGGTGTCTGCCACTGTGCCTGACCAGTTTTTGTAATTTTAGTACAGATGGAGTCTCACCATCTTGGCCAGGCTGGTCTTGAACTTCTGACCTTGTGATCCACCCGCCTTGGACTCCCAAAGTTCTGGGATCACAGGCCTGAGCCACCACACCTGGCTTTTTTTTTTTTTTTTTTTTTTTTAAGACAGGGTCTTGTTCTTTGCTTAGCCTGGAATGCAGTGGTGTGTTGCAGTCATGGCTCATTGCAGCTTTGACCTCTCAGGGCTCCAGCAACCCTCCCACCTGAGCCTCCCAAGTAGCTAGGATTGCTACAGGACTGTGCCACCACACCTGACTAATTTTTTGTATTATTTATCGAGACAGGAGTCTAACTTTGTTGCCCAGGCTGTTCTCAAACTTCTGGGTCTCCTGTCCTGGCCTCCCAAAGTGCTGAGATTACAGTTGTGAGTCACCGCTGATCTGCACCCTCTGCCTGGCCCTTAGTTCTGATTTTTTTTTTCTTTTCTTTTTTAATCTGTCTCTTCCGTCTTTGAGTCCAAGGTTGGCTGGGCCAACGTCTTCAGATCTCAGATCTGAAGTGAAGTGCACACTGAAAAGTGGTTTGGAAAAATTCCTAATGAATAGTACCTTAAACCTGCTCCCTGCCAGATCTCAAGGGCTCCAGTGACTGCCCTCCTGCCAGCCGATGTAACTTTCTAAGTGTGAAAAGTTGGAAGAGGACTCTCTACTCACCTGTTAGTTCGGCCCACTTGGAACTGGGATCCCTTTTTTTGAGACAGGCTCTCATCCTGTTGTCCAGGCTGGAGTGCAGTGGCATGATCTTTGCTCATTACAGCCTTGATCCCCCAGCCTCAGGTGATCCTCCCAACTCAGCTTCCCAAGTAGCTGAGATGACAGGCATGCGCCATCATGCCTGGCCAATTTTTGTGTTTTTTATAGAGACGGCGTTTCACCATTTTGCCCAGGCTGCCTTTAAATGCTTGGGCTCAAGAGATACACCCACCTGGGCCTCTCTAAGTGCTGGGATTATGAGGGTGAGCCACTTTGCCTATTCTCCAGCTAGGATTTTTTTCTTTCCTTTCTTTTTTTTTTTTAAGACAGAGTCTTGCTCTGGCACACAGGCTGGAGTGTAGTGGCCAGATCTCAGCTTACTGCAACCTCTCCTTCCTGGATTCAAGCGATTCTTGTGCCTCAGCCTCTCAAGTAGCTGGGACTACAAGTGTGAGCTACTGAAGCCAGCCTCCAACTAGGATTCTTTTTTTTTTTTTTTTTTTTGAGACGGAGTTTCGCTCTTGTACCCAGGCTGGAGTGCAATGGCGCGATCTTGGCTCACCGCAACCTCTGCCTCCTGGGTTCAGGCAATTCTCCTGCCTCAGCCTCCTGAGTAGCTGGGATTATAGGCACGCGCCACCATGCCCAGCTAATTTTTTGTATTTTTAGTAGGGATGGGGTTTCACCATGTTGACCAGGATGGTCTCTATCTCTTAACATCATGATCCACCCGCCTCAGCCTCCCAAAGTGCTGGGATTACAGGCTTGAGCCACCAACTAGGATCCGTAATAGGGGGAAGAGCACAATGTGTTCAGCTCACTTTTGTTTTTAGGCAATTTTGCTCTGTCTCCCAGTCTTGAGTGCAGTGGCATGATCTGGGCTCACTGAAACGTCCACCTCCCAGGTTCAAGCAACTTTCCTGCCTCAGCCCTCCATATAGCTGGGATTACAGGCATGCACTACCATACCCATAGAGGTTTTGTGTTTTTTGTTGGCCAGGCTGGTCCCAATCTCCTGACCTCAAGTGACCCACCCACCTTGGCCTCCCAGAGTGCTGGGATTATAGGTGTGAGCCACATGCCTGGCCTTAAGCTCACTCCTGAATCACATGATTGGCCACTCACTGATCTGTTCTATCCAGTAAGTCTAACTGATACCTGCCTTTCCTTCCCAGGGGCCCATGTGAGGCCTCTTGGATCTCTTTTCTTAATTCCTGCTGCAGTCTCCTTGATGATCTCCCCATTTCCCGGCCTGCTTTCTGTCCATGCTGCATTCAGAATCATCTCCAGAACCACCACCTCTTTCCCCAACTCTGAAAGCCTTCAGAGTTGGCTGGGCACAGTGGCTCACGCCTGTAATCCCAGCACTTTGGGAACCCAAGGCAGGTGGATCACCGTGTGAGGAGATCGAGACCATCCTGGTCAACATGGTGAAACCCCATCTCTACGAAAAATACAAAAATTAGCCAGGTGCGGTGGCACATGCCTGTAATCCCAGCTACTCAGGAGGCTAAGGCAGGAGAATCACTTGAACCAGGGAGTCGGAGGTTGAAGTCAGCCGAGATCACGCCACAGCACTCCAGCCTGGCGACAGCAAGAATGCATCTCAAAAAAAAAAAAAAAAAGGCCCCAGAGGCTCCCTACAGCCCCCTAAAGTCCAGGCTCCCTGGGTGCACTCAGGGCCCTTCGGCATCGGATCTGTGGTCTCTTCTTTTGCACCAAGGGCCCCATGGACCTGGTGCTCTGGAAACATGACTCCCACACATGGCTTTCCACGCACCTCTTGCTTGCTTTGGGACGCAGGCAAAGCAAGCTGGAATGAGCTCTTCACCGTTCCCCACCTGGTGGCCTCTGACTTCCCCTTGGAGATTCTGATTCAGATTCTAAGGCAAGCCTTTCTGCGCTCCCAGCGGGTCTCGCACCCCTATGCTGTGGGTTTCTCTAGTGCCCCGTGCATCTCCCTGCCTCACTTACTCTTGAGTGGCCCCTTAGGCTGTGAGCCCTGGACAGCAGGGATCAGCTCCTCTCCCAGCCCCTCATGCCTGGCACATCCAGCTGCACCATGGTGATAGTAGCGGCAGCTCATAATGAGTACTTTTATCCAAGTTCTGATCCATCCTCAGGATCTGTCTGCAAGATCACACCATTTCACTGTCACATTGATAGCTACAGGAGGCAGTCAAATGCCTCTGCAGATCGCGCAGGTCCCCAGTGAAACCCCCACCTACAAGCCAAAGACAGTTTAAAGCCTGAAAGCCAAGCTACAAGTGAAGTCCTTGGACTGGACTGAGAAGCTGTCTTCCTGCTCGGCACACTGTCCTCTGACTGGTCTCCGCTCTTCACCTATTTCACACATACCCACCCTTTCCTAATCGGGTTTCTACGCTGCTGTGGCCACCTTTGAGTGCAGTCTTGGTGTATTTGCCTTAACCTTTTTTGCATACTAGCACACCAATCAGGACGCACTCCCCGTTCTGAGTCCGTAAAAAGCTCCGGACCCAGCCACACTGAGTAAAGTACCCACTGAATTGCAGGGGTGAAGGACCCTGAACTGCCCTCCCCTGGGTCCCTCTCCACTGAGAGCTCACCCTTCATTTGTCATCATATCCTCACTCTTTTTGGACTTATGTCAAGAGCTCAGGAATCTCCGAACACAGATATAAGCTATCATGCAGGCAGGCTGGGGTGCATCTGGCCCAGCCACAGACTGAGCTGATATATAAGCCAGACTTGGCCAGGCCCACCGGGCAGGGTGCCTCCAGCGGCAGGTAGTGGGGTCTGGGCAGGGGGGCATCACTGACTGGAGATCCCAGCTGGAAAAGTGACCAAGAAAATTCCTGCGTCAACGTTACAGAGGGCTTTCTAGTAAATTGAAAGGATCAAGACACAGGCTAAGTAACTTGGTCAAGATTGCAGAGTTAGTCATAGCAGAGCTCGAATATGAATGCAGCCCTCTCTCTTAACCATTATACCAGACTCCCTTACAATGTTTGATCAACTGGCCTGAATTTTCTTTTCTTTTTCTTCCTTTCTTTTTTTTTTGAGATGGAGTCTCACTCTGTCGCCCAGGCTGGAGTGAAGTGGCGTGATCCTGGCTCACTGCAACCTCCACCTCCTGGGTTCAAGCAATTCTCCTACCTCCCGAGTAGCTGGGATTATAGATATGCACCACTGTGCCCTGCTCGGTTTTGTATTTTTGGTAGACACCGTGTTTCACCATGTTGGCCAGGTTGGTCTCAAATTCCTGACCTCAGGTGATCCACCTACCTCAGCCTCCCAAAATGCTGGGATTACAGGCATGAGCCAATGCACACAACCCTGAATTTTAATTTATCTCTCCTCTCAGTGAAAATTCATACCAAGGCCAATCCACTGTTTGGGAACTCACTGAAGCCTGACAGTCTCCGGTTCCAGCTGGAGACATCACTGAAGCGGCTGCAGTGTCCCCGAGTGGACCTTTTCTACCTGCACCTGCCAGACCACAGCACCCCGGTGGAAGAGACACTGCGTGCCTGCCACCAGCTGCACCAGGAGGTGAGGGGCCCTGAGCTCTGGGCCCTTATCCTGATCCCACTCATGAGAGCAGAGGCACCAGGGTGGTCCCAGGGTACAGCGGGAAACAGCCCCACTCCCAGGGGCCCCACCCTGCCTCCCCTTCCTGGTCTGGGCTGCTGGGTTCTGACTGGTGCCTCACTCATGCAGGGCAAGTTCGTGGAACTTGGCCTCTCCAACTATGCTGCCTGGGAAGTGGCCAAGATCTGTACCCTCTGCAAGAGCAACGGCTGGATCCTGCCCACTGTGTACCAGGTGAGGGCCGGGGCTAGAGAGGCCACAATCTCCAGGACTCCCGCTTATCCTGGGCTGTCTTTACCCCTCTGACTGCCCCCCGTGCCCTCTGCATAGCAGCCACTCCCCTGCTGAAACCTGCAGATGGCTCCCAGGTACCCTCAGGATGCCGTTCAAGCTCCTCAGCCTGGCCACTGGGCATCTGCTTCCTTCCTGCCTGAGTGTGCACCTTGGTACCTTTCTTCCCCACCTCCCCCTGCACTCAGCCTGGAACCCACCCTCCCCGCCACTGCCCCTTCTCTGGGAGAAGGGTTCAGGTCCCACACAGGGGTGTCTTCCCTTGGAAGCTTTTCTAGATGGGCCCAGAAGGCCCTGAGACCTCAGGTCCTCTTTTACCTCCTTATCATTCATTCCACAACAAATGTTTGTACATCTGCTGGGTGCCAGGCACTGGTCACAGAACTTTCTAGCATATTATGTTTGCCTCTACTTGATTATAACTGTTTATACTTGACCTTACTATAAATCCTTGAGGGAAGGGACCTTGTCCTTTTGGCTTAAGCATGTAAATCTGACAACCAGCTTATAGTTGGTGCTCATGAAAGTTGGCTGAATGAATGAATTTTCCTTGGCATAAGCCCCCTTCACCAGCACCAATAAGAATAAGTATATGCTCAGATGGTTAAGGTCCTGGAATTGTTAACGTCTGAAATAAGGGTTCTACAAGGGTAAATTTGAAGTCTGTTCTTCTAACACGTCCACCCTCTCCCTGGGGTCCCTCTCCCTGCAGGGCATGTACAACGCCACCACCCGGCAGGTGGAAATGGAGCTCTTCCCCTGCCTCAGGCACTTTGGACTGAGGTTCTATGCCTACAACCCTCTGGCTGGTACGTGGAGCATTCCTGACACTGTCTCAGCCTATTCCCAACCCACCGATGCCCAGCCCGGGACATGGGAAGCAGGGAGGGTTTGACAAGAGGCTAGGCTGCGTCCTTCACCCCTCCTGGGTCCCTGCCCCTCCCCTAGTCCAGAGCCCTGAGGAACGTGGCAGCTTCTGGGGCACTCTGGGCCTGGGGGCTGATTGCTGCCTTCCCACAGGGGGCCTGCTGACCGGGAGGTACAAGTATGAGGACAAGGACGGGAAACAGCCCCTGGGCCGCTTCTTTGGGACGACATGGGCAGAGTTGTACAGGAATCGGTGAGCAGGGGGTGCCTGGTGAGGATGGCTATGGTGGGGTCTGCTTTACGTGGAAAGAAGTCCTGGGCTGCTCCTGGGGTGGGGCCTTTCCTCACTGCTGCACCTCCTCCCCTGCATTCCTTCAGGAATTCCCAAACCCTCCGTGCGTTTTCTTGTTTCTTGAGACTTCCAGGAGTAAATGAGGCTCCCTGGACTTTGGGGTCTTGAAGTCGTAGCTCTTTCCTGAAAAATCACCTGCTAGGAAGGAAAGAAAGAGCCCTGGATGGAGGTCTGCTCCATCTGAGCAGCCCCTGTGTCCCTAGGGAAAGTAAGTTCAGGCTGATCAGTCCTCAGGAGTAAAGATTTGTTGAGGTCTCTGGTGAGGGGGCTGGCATCCTGGGTGGTTCTGGTGCCCAGTGAAGTGGGAGACCTATGACTCTAGAGGACACCCGCTCCTCAGGACTGCAGGGTGTGGAGTGGGGCAGTGGCCCTGGAGGGCTCTTTGGTTGTGGCTCCCAGTGTGACCCCCATGGTACTAACCCCCTGTGCCACTGTTCCCCCTTCCCAGCTACTGGAAGGAGCACCAATTCCAGGCCATTGCCCTGGTGGAGAAGGCCCTGCAGGTGGAGTATGGCGCCAGCGCCCCCAGCATGACCTCGGCTGCCCTCCGGTGGATGTACCACCACTCACAGCTGCAGGTAGGCAGTAACCTGGGTGCTCAGCTTCTGCCTTTCTGGTGGAACCAGGAATACCTTTAGGTGAAGGCTAAAACATTTGTTTTCTTGATTCCTCAGAAAGTTCTCTTTCTTCCAACTCTCACAAACACTCTTCCCACTGGTCTTTTTCTATTTCTTATTTTTTTGGAGACAGTCTCCCTCTGTCACCCAGGCTGGAGTACAGTGGTGCAATCTTGGGTCACTGCAACCTCCGCCTCCTGGGGTCAAGCGGTTCTCCTGCCTCAGCCTCCTGCACCACCATGCCCAACTAATTTTTTGTATTTGTAGTAGAGATGGGTTTCACCATGTTGCCCAGGCTGGTCTCGAACTCCGAAGCTTAGATAATTTGATTTGTCCTCCTCAGACTCTAAAAGTGCTGGGGTTACAAGTGTGAGCCACTGTGCTTGACTTTCCCACTGGTCTTCTTTGATTGTATCTGGGTGTCAGGATTTGTTTTTTTTATTATTATTATTATTTTTTGTCTGAACATTCCACAATGCAGGAGTGTCAGGATTTGTAATGAGGGCTTCAGTACAGGGATTTCCTTATTCCTTAGGCTTTACGAAATATGATTATCCCAGTGTTATTGATGAGGAAACTGAGGTTCACCCAGCTATTAAAGGGACAGACATTTTAACACAGTTTGAGTGTAAAGCCCACTAGTCTCATTTTTTTGGCGGAAGCTGGAGTTTCCCTCTCTCAGTGCCTCCTGCTTTACTTATTCAAATTTATATCCAGCTCCAGCTTTAGATGTTGGCTAGTATCTGGCATATATACAGTAGGTGATCAATAAATTGGTGCTAAGTGCTTTACATAATTTTTCACACCCATAACCATGTTGAATATAGAGAAGAGGTTGCAAATATTTTCTCCCATTCTGTAGGCTGCCTGTTCAGTCTGGTGATAGTTTCTTTTGCAATTAGACTCTTTAGTCTAATTTGATCCCATTTGTCTATTTTGCTTGTTGCCATTGCTTTCAGTGTTTTAGTTATGAAGTCTTTGCCCATGCCTATGTCCTGAATGGTATTACCTCGGTTTTCTTCTAGGGTTTTTATGGTTTTAGGGCTTATGTTTAAGTCTTTAATCCATGTCAAGTTAATTTTTGTATAAGCTGTAAGGAAGGGATCCAGTTTCAGCTTTCTGCATATGGCTAGCCAGTTTTGCAAATCTGACAAAGGGCTAATACCCAGAATCTACATAGAAATTAAACAAATTTTTTTTTTTTTGGGAGGAAGGCAGGAAGGGAGGGAAGGAGGACAGTGGGGATGAAGGAAGGAAGGAAAGGAAGAAGGGGAGAGGGAGGGAGGGAAGGGAAAGAAGGAAATCAAGCAATGAGAGAGACATTGCCGACCTGGATCTAGAGGTTTACAAGTTGATTTCTTTTTTTGAGAGAAGGAAAGAAAAAGAAAATAAGTAAAGGAGAGGAAGAAAGAGGAAGAGAAAGAGGGAGAGTAAATGGAAATATTGCTTTATTCTGAAAAAAATTGGGTATTAATAATGGCCAATCAATGTTTCATTTAAACTTATGAGTAGGTGTGATGTGGTATTGACAAGAATGTATATTTTGTGTATTTGAAGTGGAGAGCTCTATAAATATTTATTAAGTTTACTTGTTCCAGATCTGAGTTCGAGTCCTTGATATCCTTATTAATTTTCTGTCTCATTGAGTCTAAGTCTTTATGTATCTGGGTGTTAAGATCGTTAGCTCTTGTTGTTGCATTGATCCTTTTACCACTGTATCTTTGTTGCTTTAAAATCTATTTTATCCGATACGAGATTTGCAACTCCTGCTTTTTATTTATTTATTATTTATTTTTGCTCTCCATTTGGTTGGTAAATCTTTCTCTATCCCTTTGTTTTGAGTCTTTGTGTATCCTTGCATGTGAAACAGGTCTGGATGTAACATGCCGTTGGGTTTTGGCTGTGTCTTTTGATTGGGGGATTTAGTCAATTTAAATTTAGGGTTACTGCCATTTGATGTTGACTGGCTGTTTTATCCATTCGTTGGTGTAAATTCTTCTTTATGTTGGTGCTCTTTACATTTTGGTATATTTTTAGAAAGGCTAATACTGGTTGTTTCTTTCTGTGTGTAATGCTTCTTTCAGAAGCTCTTGTAAAGCAGGCCTGGTGGTAATAAAATCTCTGAGTTCTTGCTTGTTCATAAAATATTTTATTTTTCCTTCAGTTGTGAAGTTTAGTTTGGCTGGATATGAAATTCTGGGCTGAAGGTTCTGTTCTTTGAGGATGTTGAATATTGGCCCCCACTCTCTTCTGGCTTGTAGAGTTTCTGCTGAGAGATCTGCTGTAAGTCTGATAGGCTTGCCTTTGTGGGTAACCTGACCTTTCTCTCTGGCTGCTCTTAGTATTTTCTCCTTCATTTCAACCCTGGTGAATCTAATGATTTTGTGCCTTGGGGTTGCTCTTCTTGAGGAATATCTTTGTGGTGTTTTCTGTATTACCTGGGGTTGAATATTGACCTGCTTTGCTAGTTTAGGAAAATTTTCCTGAATAATATTCTGAAGGGTATTTTCCAGCTTGGATTCATTCTCTCCGTCACATTCAGGTACACCTATCAAACGTAAATTTGGTCTTTTCACATAGTCCCACATTTCTTGGAGACTTTGCTCATTCCTTTTTATCCTTTTTTCTCTAATCTTTTCTTCACGTTTTATTTCATTAAGTTGGACTTTGACCTCTGATATCCCTTCTTCTGCTTGAACAATTCGAGTGTTTAAACCTGTGCATATTTCTCGGAGTTCCTGTATTGTATCTTCAGTTCCATTATTTCACTCATACTCCTCTCTAAGTTGTCTATTCTCAATAGGATTTCATCAAACCTTTTTTCAAAGTTCCTAGTTTCTTTACATTGGGCTACAACATGTTCTTTTAACTCACCGAAGTTTGTTATTATCCATTCCTTGAAGAGTGATTCTGTTATTGGGATGCGCTCATTCTCCATCAAGCCTTGTTCCATTGTTGATGTGGAACTGTGATCATCTTTAGAGGGAGAGGTGTTCTGACTTTGAGTATTCTCAGCTTTTTTACGCTGGTTTCTTCCCGTCATTGTAAATTTATCCTCCTGTCGTCTTTGAATTTACCAGCTTTCAGATTAGGTCTCTTGAGTGGGCGTCCAGGTTGTTAGTTCCCAGGGCCAGAGCAGCGGCGTTAAAACTGATGGTGCTTTTCTGCCCAGGATTCTCCTGTCTGGCTTCCTTTTTGTGTCTGTAGTAGGCGACTCTGCCTTCCCGGGGCTCCAAACCTTGGTCAGAAGGGGAACCGGTCCATTTACTCTGCGCCGAGTGCTGCCGCGCTGAGGTGCCGCCACAGCCGCTGCACCGGGCTCTGGTGTTGTGCTGGGGGCCCGTGCGGGTCCTCCAAACCTGTTTACTCTGCTCCGAGAGCTGCCGTGCCGAGGTGCCAGCGGAACTGCTGCGCCGGCCACGAGAGTCGTGCTGGTGACCCATGTGTTTCCTCCACTGGGGATCTTCTGCTCCGTGAGTGACCAGAATTTGTCTGAAAGTGTGGCGTCTTCTGGTTCTCTGCGCCTTCACTGAGAGCTGCAATCCCGGGATGTTAGCGATCGGCCCTCTTGGATCGTTCTCGAAATTAAACAAATGTACAAGAAGAAAACAAACAACCCTATCAAAAAGCAGGCGAAGGATATGAACAGGCACTTCTCAAAAGAGGACATCTATACAGCCAGCAAACATATGAAAAAAAGCTCATCAGTACACACTGTGGAAGATAGTATGGTGATTCCTCAAGGATCTAGAACTAGAAATACCATTTGACCCGGCAATCCCATTACTGGGTATATATCCAAAGGATAGTTATTCTACTATGAAGACACATGCACATGTATGTTCATTGTGGTACAGTTCACAATAGCAAAGACTTGGAACCAAACCACATGCCCATCAATGTTAGACTGGATAAGGAAAATGTGGCATACGTACACCATGGAATACTATGCAGCTGTAAAAACAGATGAGTTCATGTCTTTTGCAGTGTCATGGATGATGTTGGAAACTGTCATCCTCAGCAAACTAACACAAGAACAGAAAACCAAACACTGCCTATTCTCGCTTGTAAGTGGGAGTTGAACAGTGAGAACACATAGACACAGGGAGAGGAACATCACACACTGGGGCCTGTCAGGGGTGAGGGGACGGATAGCATTAGGAGAAATACATCATGTAAATGACGGATTGATGGGTGCAGCAAACCACCATGGCACGTGTATAGCTATGTAACAAACCTGTACATTCTGCACATGTACTGCAGAACAAGTATGTAAAATAAGAAAATATAAAATAGAGAAGAGGACTGAGTCTCAGAGAGGTTTAATAACATAGTCATGTTTACACAGCTGCTGTGGGCAGAACTGGGCTGTGAACGTAGGTCTGCCTGGAAGTGCCCTGTGGCAGTAGGGGAGAGGATACAGGTTTTGAGTTACATGGGTACAGCTGTCCAAGGCACCTTAAGTTCTTTCTGGACATACAGGGTATAAGAAAGCCCAAATCTCAGCAGGGAGGTGGCTGGGAGGGGTGTGAGTGGAGTCGCCGTGCAGCAGAAGAGGGTCGAAGTCTAGCTGCTTCCCTTGCAGGGTGCCCACGGGGATGCGGTCATCCTGGGCATGTCTAGCCTGGAGCAGCTGGAGCAGAACTTGGCAGCGGCAGAGGAAGGGCCCCTGGAGCCAGCTGTCGTGGACGCCTTTCATCAAGCCTGGCATTTGGTTGCCCTTGAATGTCCCAACTACTTCTGCTAGGCCCATTGTGGCTCAGGCTGTCACCTTCTATGCTCTCTCACACTTTGTCTAATTTAGAACTGCCTCAATAAATTCTTAGGAACAGAACTATTTGGACAAAAACCTAACAGCAGAGTCACCACCAAATGAAGAATAAAACCTCCCAAGATGCTGTGTGTTAGTCTGCTTGTCTTGCTATAAAAAAAAGTACCTGAGACCAGGCACAATGGCCCACCCCTGTAAACCCCAAACTTCAGGAGGCTGAGGCGGGCGGATCACCTGAGGTCAGGAGTTCAAGACCAGCCTGGCCAACATGGCAAAACCCTGCCTCAACTAAAAAATACAAAAAATTAGCTGGGCAGGGTGGCGGCTGCCTGTAATCCCAGTTACTCAGGAGGCCGAGGCAGGAAGGTCGCTTGAATCTAGGAGGCAGAGGTTGCAGTGAGCCGAAATTGTATCACTGTGTCGTGCCACTGTACTCCAGCCTGGGTAACAGAGCAAGACTCAGTCTCAAAAAAAAGTAAAAATCCCTGCGACTGGGTAATTTACAAAGAAAAGAGGTTTCTTTGGCTCATGGTTCTGCAGTCTCTACAAGGAGGCATGGCGCTGGCACGTGCTCCTGATGAGGGTCTCAGGAAGCTTACAGTCATGGCAGAAGGGGAGGGAGAGCCAGCATGTCACATGGCGAGAGAGGGAGCAAGAGACAGAGAGGAGATGAAATTGCAGGCACTCTTAAATAACCAGAGCCTGTGTGAACTCAGAGCCACAAGTCACTCATTACTGTGCAGATGGCACCAAGCCATTCAAGAGGGATATACCCCCATACCCTAACACCTCCCAGCAGGCCCACCTTTAACTTCGGGGATCACATTTCAACATGAGATTTGGGGGGGACAAATTATCCAAATGATATCATATTGCCAGTAGCCCCTCAAATGTCATGTTCTTCTCACATTGTAAAATACAGTCATCCCTTCCCAACAGTCACCCAAAGCCTTACCTTGTTCCAGCATCAACTCAATCAAGTCTGTTGGATGAGCCCCTTTGTGGTAAGATGGCTAGTGAGGGTACCCTTTCTACAGTCCAGGAAGTAAAAATTGTGTTGCCGAAAGATCCTTTGTCTCAGTGCCAATTTTCCTTTGTGGCACTGAGCTTCTGTTTCCAACATATTGGCACCCCAGATGGGACCCCCATTCCCTTCTGGGGTGGTCTCCAGCTGAGACCCATCTGGTGCAAAAAATAAATCAACCTAGTCTCTCAGCAATGTGGGAAAAAAGAAGAGCTTCAAGCTTTGGTAGAAATCCTAAAGTTTAAGTTAGCGTTAAGTGTGCATGCAAGAGAGCAGTGTGTTTTCTTTCTGCAAGATCTGTGATAGTTCCCTAAGGCTTAGAGGTTGGAGAGAGCAAAGCAAAAGTGAAGAGGACCGCTGCGCGCGGTGGCTCACGCCTGTAATCCCAGCACTTTGGGAGGCCGAGGCGGGTGGATCACGAGGTCAAGAGATCGAGACCATCCTGATCAACAAGGTGAAACCCCGTCTCTACTAAAAATACAAAAAATTAGCTGGGCATGGTGGTGCGCACCTGTAATCCCAGCTACTCGGGAGGCTGAGGCAGGAGAATTGCTTGAACCCAGGAGGCGGAGGTTGCGGTGAGCCGAGATCGTGCCATTGCACTCCAGCCTGGGTAACAACAGCGAAACTCCGTCTCAAAAAAAAAAAAAAAAGTGAAGAGGAGTGAGAGAGACCTCCCAAAGGGCGGTAGGGGGGATAGTTGGAATCTTCCCCTGGAAAAAGAAAGGCAAAAGTAGCCGAGAAGGTTCCGGAGGAGCCCCTGTGAAGGCCCCCTGAGGCGGCCACAGCGGTGCCTGCAGCTAGGTCAGCTGCACGTTGGGGCGGGGCCCGGGGAAGCAAGGTCGCAGGTGCACAGGGGCCGGGCCGCTCTGAGTGGCAGCGCGCCCAGGTGGCGCCCCTGAGAAGTGCTGGGGGGCTGCCCACGGCTAAGCAGAAAGCAGCGTGGTGGAGGTCGCCCACGAGGCTGCTAGACATGGCCAGGGGTGCCGCAAAGGCAGCAGGAGGGGCCGGGACAGGCTGGTTGAGCAATGGCCGCAGCAGCAGCTAGATGGTCCGAAGCCCTGTGCCGGGAACCTTGTGGGGCAGATGGGCACAGCACTCCCTGCCTGGCTGCCTGCACCCTGAGGAGGCCCCCCGGGCACAAGAAAACCAGCAGCAACAACAGCAGCCCAGAGCAAACCCCGCTCTGGCCAGCAAAATGTGGAGAAAGAAAGCTGAGGTATGTCGAAAAATTGTAAGAGAAAGTTTGTGTAAAAGAGAGAGAGAGAGAAAGAGTTAAAATAAATAAATAAATAAATAAATAAAGGCTTTTTCTTTTGAAACTAAGGCAAAACAACTAAGCCAAAACATGTTAAAAAAAAAGTTTAAAGAGGAAAATTATAAAGTAAAAAAGGAGGGAATTGTGGGAAGTATAAAAGTTCCTCTTTAAAATTTTCTTTCTTGCTAAAGAATAAATCATAAGTGTGCTAATAACTCTTTGTTAAGCCCTATCCTATGTAGCTGTTAGACACGCGGTGCTTACAGTCACATATTATATTCTATGTCCTTGTACTTTAACCAAGATATCTGTGCTGGGAGTGCTAACGGGCATGTCCCAGATCTCCATGGCTTTACCTGTTTAGAAAAGTTTTAAGTTGTTAGCCAATCAGGTTTTAGTTTAAATTGTGACGTCTGGTTCCAGCCAGCCAAGATCAGACACAGCAGTAAGGACAACCCCAAATGTGTAAGGAATAAATATGTGTGTTTTCCTTTGTTCATTGTACTCTCATGGCAAGTCGGCTAGCCTGGGTACCCTTCCTGCAGTCCAGGAAGTAAATATTGCATTGCTCAAAGAGCCTTTGTCTCAATGCTAATTTTTCTTTGTGGCACCAAGCGTCTGTTTCCAACAAGTTCAAAGTCTCATCCGAGACTCAAGGCAAATTTCTTCCACCTATGAACCTGTATAATCAAAACCAAATTATTTACTCCCAAGATACAATGGTGGCACCCATGTTGGGTAACATTTCCATTGCAAACGGGAGAAATTGGCCAAAAGAAAGGGGCAACAGGCCCACACAAGTCTGAAACCCAGGAGGGCAGGCATGAAAATGTAAAGCTCCAAAATCATCCTTGACCCCATGTCCCACATCCTGGCCACCCTGGGGCAAGCAATGGGCTTCCAAGTCCTCAGGCAGCTCCACATATGTGGCTTTGCAGGATGCAGCCCCCATTGCTGCTCTCACTGGCTGGAATTGAGTGCCTGTGGCTTTTTCAGGCTCTGGGTACAAGCTGCTGGTGGCTCTGTAATTCTGGAGTCTGGAGAATGGTGGCCCCTTTCCCACAGCTCCACTGGGCAGCGCCCTAGTGGGGACTCTGGCTGGGGGGGCTCCAACCTCATATTTCCCCCCGGCGTTGCCCTAGTAGAGTCTGAGGGCTATCCTGAGGTTCTCTGAAATGCCTTTGACCCCCTTTTCCCCATCATCTTGGCTATGAGCACTTAACTCCCTTTTAGTCATGCTCATCTCTCTAGCAAGTGGTTTCTCTACAGCCCACTTGAATTCCTCTCCTGAAAATGCTCTTTCCTTCTTCATTACTTGGTCAGACTGTAATTTTCCAAGCTTTTATACTCTGCTTCCCTTTTCATTATAATTCTAACTTTATGTCATTCCTTTGCTGCTGTATCTGACTGTAGGCTTTTGGAAACAACCATGCCACATCCTGAATCCCTTGCAGCCTAGAAATTTCTCCCACCAGAAATTTCTACATCATCATCCTTAAGCTAAACCTTCCACAAACCCCTTGGACAAGAACTCAATGCAGCCACATTCTTTGCTAAGGCATTACATGGTTGACCTTTGGTCTAGTTCCCAATTCCCCATTTCCATTTGAGACCTCCTTGGCCTGTCCTTCACTGTCTGTATTTCTTTTTCTTTTTGAGAAGGAGTTTCGCCCTGTCGCCCAGGCTGGAGTGCCATGGCACAATTTCGGCTCACTGCAACCTCCACCTTCTGATTTCAAACGATTCTCCTGCCTCAGCCTCTTCAGCAGTTGGGATTACAGGCACCTGCCACCACACCCAGCTAATTTTTGTATTTTTAATAGAGATGGGGTTTCACCATGTTGGCCAGGCTGCTCTCAAACTTCTGACCTCATGATCTGCGTGCCTCAGCCTCGCAAAGTGCTGGGATTACAGGCGTGAGCCACCGGCCCCAGCCTCATTGTCTGTATTTCTATTAACATTTTTTTTTTTTTTTTTTGAGCTGGAGTTTCACTCTTGTTACCCAGGCTGGAGTGCAATGGTGCGATCTCGGCTCACTGCAACCCCCGCCTCCTAGGTTCAGGCAATTCTCCTGCCTCAGCCTCCTGAGTAGCTGGGATTACAGGCACGCGCCACCACGCCCAGCTAATTTTTTTTTGTATTTTTAGTAGAGACGGGGTTTCACCATGTTGACCAGGATGGTCTCAATCTCTTGACCTCGTGATCCACCTGCCTCAGCCTCCCAAAGTGCTGGGATTACAGGCGTGAGCCATCGCGCCCGGCCTCTATTAACACTTTTGTCACAACTATTTAACAAGTCTCTAAGAAGTTCCAAACTTTCCGTAACCTTCCTGTCATCTTCTGAGCCCCAACCCCTTCCAACCTTTGTCCATTTCCCAGTTCCAAAGCTGCTTTCAACCTACATTTTCAGTTATTGTTATCATAATGCTGCACTCCTCCATACCAATTTTCTGTTAGCCCATTTATATTACTATAAAGGAATACCAGAGCCTGGGTAATTTATAAAGAAAGGAGATTTCTTTGGCTCACAGTTCTGCTGGCTGTACAAAAAGCATGACGCTGCGTCTACTTCTAGGGAGGCCCTCAGGAAGTTTACAATCTTGGTGGACTGGCAAAAAGGGAGCAGACGTGTTACATGGCGAGAGAGGGAGCAAGAGGGAGGGAGATGGTGCCAGGTTCTTTTAAGCAACCAGGTCTCCTGTGAACTAAGAGGGAGAATTTATTATCATGAGGACGGCAGCAAGCCATTCATGAAGGGTCCGCCCCAGTGACCCAAATACCTCCCACAAGGCCCACTTCCAACACTGGAGGTCTTTTTTTAGGAGGAACTTTTTTAGTGGTGTTATCTACATTTCCAAGTACCACTGTGGAACTTTTTTTTTTTTTGAGACGAAGTCTTGCTCTGTTGCCCAGTCTGGAGTGTAATGGCACAATCTTGGCTCACTCCAACCTCCGCCTCCTGGGTTCAAGAAATTCTCCTGCCTCAGCCTCTTGAGTAGCTGGGATTACAGGCACATGATATCAAACCTGGCTAATTTTTGTATTTTGAGTAGAGACAGGGGTTTTATCATGTTGGCCAGGCTGGTCTCGAACTCCTGTATTCAGGTGATCCACCCACCTCAGCCTCCCAGAGTGCTGGGATCACAGGAGTGAGCCACCACGCCGGCCCAGTGTGGAACGTTTTTACCACTCTCGATCTCCGCAGTGCCTTCCTCTTGTCTTAGCTAACGCCTCCTGTCTTTTCATCCATAACCTCCTCAGTGGTGGTTCTGGGCTTCTTTTTGTTGGTTATGGGGGCAAGGGCAGTGGGTCCACATTTTCCTCACCCCTACTCCAAACAGGAGGCACTCAAGGTTGGAGAAGAAAAGGCACAGATTTGGTGGTTGCTGTGTGACTATTGCAGCAAAATCCCTCCAGCCCTGGGCAGGGCAGCAGGCAGCACTTGGAGCAGCCCCCGAAAGTGACGAAACGGGCCCAACTTGGAAATGTAGATAACACCACTCATCCAAAAGCCTGACCCAAAAAAGATCCCATTTGCTAACCAGACGGAAACACCTGCAGACAAAATTTATTCTTTATGAAAAGAAATTACTCCCTCATTGTTTTCATCCATACAACATAGATACTCCCTGATGTACGGTGGCCTGTCAGTTATCTTTGGACAAAAAAGCACACCCAAAATTGAGTTGCTTAATATGACAGAATCTCCCAAGTTGATGAGGAAATTCAACACAATCTCTGTCCATCCAAATTCCAGCTGTTATTTTTGTTGTTGTTCTGAGATGGAGTCTGTCTCCCAGGCTAGACTACAGTGGGGGAATCTTCAATCACTGCAACCTCCACTTCCCGGGTTCAAGTGGTTCTCCTGCCTCAGCCTTCTGAGTAGCTGGAATTACAGTCATGCGCTACCACATCTGGCTAATTTTTGCATTTTTTGTAGAGATGGGGTTTTGCCATGTTGGCCAGGTTGGTATCAAACTCCTGACCTCAGATGATCCTCCCACCTTGGCCTCCCAAAATGCTGGGATTGTAGGCATGAGCCACCACACCAAGTCAGCTTTTTTTTTTTCTTTTTAAACATAGAAATTGACAAACTTGTTTTAAAATTCATAGGGAAATTCAGAGCATCCAGGATAGCCAAGGTGTGAGCCAGCGTGCCCAGCCAAATCATACACTTTAAGTAGATCAACTTTATAGTGTCTGAATTATATCTCAATCAGTTGTTTTTGAAAAACAAAACAGGCAGGGCATGGTGGCTCATGCCTGTAATCACAGAAATGTGGGAGGCCTAGGCAAGGGGGTTGCTTGAACCCAGGAGTTCAAGACCAGCCTGGGCAACGTGGTAAAATCCCATCTTGATGAAATACACAAAAATTTGCTAGGTGGTGC